GTGCCTTGGACATTTGATTGATGCATTATTAATAAAATTGTATAATATCTACGTGTCCCGCTATATTAATGATAATATATTTTCTTCATATATATCATTTAAATATACAATCCTATGTATTTATACATTATTTATAGTTATTTTGACATTAAACTTAATGTTATTAATATATTTATGGAATTTGTATGCATTTCCTTTGCGTATCCAAGTGTTTCCATATTTTTCATTTGTATCCATGCATTTCCCAAGCGTATCTGTATCCGTATCCATACCCAAGTTATTCAATACGATACCCGATACCGATACTTTAATCCTTGATTGAGAATACTAATGGTGTATCTAAGTGTGCAGCATCTTTAGTAAGCTTCTTTTGCTTAAAGAGTATAAAAGCTAGAATAATACAATTAATGAACTGGAAACTATGCTAAGTTGGTTGCTTGGGCTTCAACAAGTGTCTACACCATCATCATCATCTCTCCAGCAAAGGAAGCTCCAAGAAAATCTAGCACCAAGGTTGATGAAGAACTTAAAGGCTTTGGAGTTGTTGAAGAAGGATCTGCTACTACATCTCAACAATGAAAAAAGAAGACTAGATGAAGTTGTACTTATTTGTTTTTATCTTTCTAGAATCTTGATGTAAATCAATTGTATGATGCACTCCATAAATGCTCAACAAGACCGGACTCAATCAAGTATCCTTAGAAACCATAATCTTTATTTGGTTCCTTGGCTTTCCTGAGCTTAGAAAAAAAAAAGATGAAAAGGTCAAGAAAATACTTATTGAAACCCAATGAAAGTGTTTCCAAACCTTTGGGCAAAATGTGCCAAGGTTTCTAAGTGTTTAGGTTGTCTATCAAATTAATCCTGACTGTAAGAAGTAGTCAACTACTCAAAAACATGTGTCGACGAAGTATAACAATTTAGGCATGCATTGCTACGACTGTAAGAAGTTATCTACTACCTCAAATACATGTGTTGACCATCTATGACAGTCAAGGCATGCAAAATGCCCAGTCTGAGAATATGTATCAAATACACATTAAAGATTTGTGACTACTCAAACTGATTGAGTTCACACCAGCTAACTAACAAGGAGGAACTAGTCAACTAAGAAAAAAAAAGATTCTTTCCTTCGTATTGTAGTCAACTATCAGACCATTTGAAGGCTCCAACGGTTGCTGCTATTATTGGAAATCCTTCAAATATGTTGAAGAAAATATGAATCATTTCCAAATAAGGTAAAATCCCTCCAATGGCTAGAAAATGGTCACTTGCTCTTAAATCCTCTATAAATAGAGGAGTTCAACTTTATTCAAAATATAAGAAAGCAAGAGAAAAGTTTTGAAGCAAGGCTTGTGAAAAGCAACTTGCGCATTCACTTGTACATATTGTAAATAGTTGTTTTTCAAAGAGAGAAGCCGAGCTAAAGTCTTTTTGGAGGAAGAGATCCCTGTGACTCATCAGTTTCAGGGTGAGTTTTGTTTGAGAAGTCATTAAGCTCGTTCTCACCCAACTATTAGGATCTTCCTCCCTATGCAAAGCATCTGTGTAGAACTCTAGCAACTAAGTTAGTTTGTGTTGTATTTGTTTATATCTACCTATTCAGACACTCCTTGTGTTGTAAATGTGCTCTTATGTTATATTAGTAAAGAATGTTTGAGCAGGTAGGTGCTCAACCTATTGAACACCATTAAGGTCTTGTTAGCACCTCTACTAAGCCCAACTACAAAGTATTTCAAGCACCCATAAGCCCTAATGTTTTGGGTCTTGTTGGCACCCATGTAAGTCTAACTGGTTCAAATATTACAGGCACCTGTTAAGTCCTATTGGTTGTAAAGGCTTGGCTGGCGCCCGGAAAGTTCAATGGGTTAGTGGAAATCCTCAGTGGTGGTCTGAGGTAGAGGGCGGAGGCAAGGTTAGCCAAACCTATATAAAAATCTCTATGATCCTTGTTCTTTTCTTTTCTTTTCTTTTCAAGTTTGCAATTTATTTTTCTTTGTGCTAACATTCTCACAACTGCAATACTTGAACCCTTGAGATCTTACAGATTTGCTCTTTACTTTATTTCTTTTCTTTTATATCTGCAAGATACAAGGTCAACTAATGCAGTTACTGAGCTCTAACATTACTAACCCTTGAAATCTTGAATCCTTGAGATCTTGCAGATTTGCTCTTTACTTTATTTCTTTTCTTTTATATCTGCAAGATACAAGGTCAACTAATGCAGTTACTGAGCTCTAACATTACTAACCCTATTGACTTCACTAACTCTAGTAACTACTTTATTTCTATTGTTTATTTTATTGTTAATTTACATTCCAACAGTATTTACATTTCAATAGTTAGATTTGTCCTTAAGATTCCGGTAGCAAACGATTGATCAAAAAAAAAGAGATTCCGGTAGCAGCTAATCACTGCTTGAATCCCGAGTTGATTGTAGATTTGATAGTTGGTCCATCTCTCAACTATCCTTGTGTAGAAAGTCCTCTCTTCTACTGTTAGTGGCCGGTCCTCTCTCTCCAACTGCTAAGGCACACACTACTAGGTGTAGCTTCCATTTACATTTGCATTAATTTACCTTCAGTTGCACTTTACTTTATACAATTATTTGCTTTCATTGTTGATTTATTTTATTAACTGTAAAACCACTAACTAATAGCAGAATACAATTCTTAATAGTTCATCTTATCTTTTAGCTACTATCTTTTTGTTAGTAGTCATTATTATTGTTCTTAAGTGTTAACTACTAACCGCTACAGCTCTTGCTTCTATATTGCATATTTGTTTTGTAGTTGCAGGTTTTCTTGTTCAGTAGTAAGGTTAATTCAAGTGTAACTTCTTATTTTCTTAATTTACTACTGCACCAAACTGGCGTAGCCTAAAACTTCGGTTGCATCTTGATTGTCAAGAAGGCTTAGGTTCAATTAGAGGGGAAGGGTCTTGAGCTTGATAGTCAAGAGTCGAAGAATTCGAATTAAAATCCGAAACAAGTTTTTAAAATAAAGTATAAAACATAAATCCTAGAGCAGTTCCCATGGTTTCATAGCAACAAGGAGTTATCTTTAACTAATAACTACCAATGATATTCAAGAAATAAGTATAAACCACATATTAAAACATAGAAAATTAACATATTTATCAAAAGAAAAAAAGAAAGCATAGAAAATATAGGGGATGAGCCCTTATTGATTATCTTAGAAAAAGTAAATGAAAAAAACTAAAAAAATAGGAAGGGGTGGAACCCCTACTTTTGTGCCAAAAAAAAGAAAGGATTCAAAACAATGTCCACCAACTTGTGTGTCAATCAAACCCAAACAAAAAACAGGAAATAATAAAAAGAAACTAGTATAAGAATTATAAAAAATATTTTTTGTTAGACAATATATGCCCTCAGGATTCAATATTTGACCTAAGTGTTCTTTATGAAATGAAAGTCCAGGTACTTGTACAATTATATGCGTTATTGGGTATGTTTCTATGAATCAAACCTTGATCTATATTACAGTATTATGAATTTATGATAATCATAATAACAATGGTCAGAGACAATCATAATTGGTGTGTAGACTAAAGTACCCCAACTAATGAATAGACTCAGGCAATTTATTCTGACAAGGTTGGTACACTTATACTACCTTGTAAAAGAATCCGGATTTCCCTCCTCACAAAATTGGTCCTTACACCGACCTCACAACACTTCCAACCGTGCATTGGGAACATCTTCCCATGAATGAAAACATACAAGTAAGGAAATGTTCCCAATGCATGGCTGCAAGTGTTGTGAAATCGATGTAAGGACCAATTTTGAGGAGGAAATCTGAACTCCTTATGAGAAAGCAAGAGTGTGGGTGTTTGGAAAACACTGAATTGGATTGTTTTAGATGATTCCTAGACTTTATAATTAGTAGAATATCTATATTGTTGCATATAGTCCACAAACTTGATAATGCTACTCTACTAGATCTCAGACCTATTTGCTTTTGATATGCCAACAAATAGAATCCTTTTGAGATCAATACTTAGGTATGTTGGAGTAGACAAGGATGGAATCATCATAAGTGATCATTGTCATAGAATCTATTACTTTTGTCAAATAAAGAGAATACCATTGGATATGACTTCTCTGATGGATACCTAAATTTGTCAGTAATGGATTTCAAATTGGTTTGAAATCTATTTTGCAAAATATATTTATATTAATAAATAGTTTATTTTCTAAATGAATTTGCAAATGGTTTTTCCTAGAATTTCATCATAGTAGAAGACATAACATTGGATTTTACAAAGTGGAGAATAAGTCCTCCACAATGTTGGATATTAATGGCAAAAGGATTATGTTGCAAGTGTTTATTAGGCCTAATAGCTGATGAACACGTTTCAATTTGACTCATCTAACATAGCCATAATGGGTTCCACTCTAGGATTCAATCCTAGTTTAAGTGTGACTTCAATAGTCGGTTCAAACTAGACTCCCATGGGTCCCACACATCGTCAAACTTCCTCTCTCACTAGATACTCTGAATCTAGTAGGAAGAGGCAAGTTCCAATTTAAGGTTGAGATAAACTAGGAAGGTCCTAGTCTAATAGAAACTCTCTAGCACATAAAGAGCTTCACTATCAAATTGAGAATCTGCAATTAGTAGACTTTTCTAGATGCCTTAGGATTTGATTTTTTTTTTATTTTGTTATCAGCAAAATGAGTTATTTATTAATAATTGAAAAAGTTTACAATATTTGCTACATAGTAGCCCAAATACACCAGAAACCAGATTAGCCACCCTAATTACCATGCCCCTTTTTACTATTACAAATTACAACATTGCCCAAAACAGAGTGGATTTGTCCACTCCCTGTTTTGTGAGAACATCTACCAACCCATGTGTTGTTCTTTTTACCCATCCAAAGCTAGTGTTACAACATTTTGCAAGGTAGTCAATTTCCCTAAGGCAAATTTATATTTCCAAGGAGCTGAATTGATTTGTTTTTGCCCAGGAAATAACGAATAAGGAATCTCCTTCCACTTCAAGCTCTCTAACACCTTGCTGTTTTGCCAGTTTTAGTCCTTGTAACAGAGCCATTGTCTCAGCCTTAACCAAGTCACCAAATCCAATTGGCTCAGAGAATAAGGCTACAACTGCACCTTGATGGTTTCTGAAAACTCCCCCTATACCCACCCTCCCCGAATTCCCAAAGGACCTCCCATCAAAGTTTAGTTTTAGTATGTTTGGCCTTGAAGGTTTCCATTCCATTATCACTACTTCTTTGTGTATATCTATTTGTGCCACTTCAGTCCATTTCCATAATAAGCCATTTGTGGAAACATCTCTGAAAAGCTCTATTGTTTTAGCCCAATGTCTAGATCTGATCTTTATGGATTCAATCACATCCTCCACTAACCTATTATTTTCTTGGAAGATTCTTTGGTTTCTCTCTTCCCAGATGGTCCATACTAGGATTACTCTTGTTATTTTCCAAAGATATCTTCCCCTTTTCTTCTACTGCCTCAAGAAACTGGAGTTGAATAAGCTAAGCACATCCTATGGGGGTACCCATCTGCAACCAAAAAGAGAGCAGTAGTCCCAAATACAAGTTACAAATGAACAAGAGAGTAGTAAATGAGGAAGGGTCTCACCACTGGCCTTGCAAAGGAGACACACATGAGGAGAGAGGCAATTATTTGGCCTTCTTTTCTGTAGCACGACACAAGTGTTAATCTTCCCGGGGAAGCTTTCCCAACATAAAGCCTGCACTTTAGGAGGGATTGGTTTGCACCAAATTTCTCTCACTGGGAGATTTACCACCAAGGGTTCTGAACTAATAAGAAGGTTAAAGAAAGAAGCACAGGAGAAGTGACCATCAGGGGAGGGGTACCAAACTCTACCATCCAAGAGATTTTGATCCAAGAAAATCTTTTCCAAGAGAGAGAATAGGAGGATAAGGGATTCACCTCATTGTCCCTCAACCCCCTTCTGGACCTGAAATCCCAATTTAAACCATGTGTTGAAGGCCTGCCAAACCAAGAGACCGGTTTGTTCTTGAGGTTTGTTAGAGAGTATAGTGCTGGGAATTGTAGTTTGAGTGATAACTGGTAAGTCCCCAAGGCAAAGGTCTTCCAAAAATAAGATTTTGTTCCCACATCCCACATCATAACAGATAGAATTTAAAAAAGTAGGTAGGACCTCAAAAGTTGCCTTCCAAGGGGAAATTGCAAAAGTGTGAGGCACTAGTTTTGCATCCCAGCCATTTTCCGCTACACCATGAATGCTTTCAATGATCTTGTGCCACAACCTGTCTTCCTCTAAGGGGAATCTCCATAATCACTTTCCTAAAAGAGTTGTGTTCCTCTTAATCAAGTTTCCAATTCTCAGGCCCCCTTGCTCCTTTGGTTTACACACCTGTTCCCACTTCACCAAATGATCTTTTTTTTTCATCTCCTGGCTCTAACAAAAAAATCCCTCATTAATTTTTCTAATTGCTTTGCAATTTTCACCGAGGTTCTAAAGGTGGAAAGGTAATAGGTGGCAAAATTTGCTAAGGTGGATTTGATCAATGTAATTCTTCCCCCTAAAGAGATATAGTTTCTCTTCCAAGAGGCTAATGTTTTATCAAATCTTTCCATTAATGGTTTCTAGAAACTCTCTACTCTAGGGTTTCCTCCCAACGGCATACTTAGGTACTCTAGGGGCCAAGTTCTCACCTCACAACCTAGGATTTCAGCCAAAATTGACATGTACTCCTCTCCCAAATTTATCCCCATCACACAGCTTTTCCCCCAATTGACTTTCAGATTTGATATTCTTGGGAATCAATCAACTAAGGCTTTCAAATTCCTTGTATCAAGCCCTGTACAACTCTCACGGAAAGTGATTATGTCATCAGCAAATTGCAGATGTGTAATAACAACCTCATTTCTTCCAATTCTCCACCCTCTGAATTGGCTTTCAAGATCAACCTTAGTGATCAATTTACTCGAGACCTCTGCAATGAGGGTGAACAAGAAAGGGGATAGAGGATCACCTTGCCTTAAACCTCTTTTAGCCGGGAAGAAATCCTTTACCACACCATTGATCAGAATTTAGAAGTGTGTTGAGCTAATACAACCATAAATCCACTTCCTCCATCTTTCTCCCATACCTATTTTTCCATATCCAATTTGCAAATTAAGCTTACCCCTCCTTGTCTTTTCTTTTCTGCTACACACTAATTAGCCACTAAATGACTAGAATTCGGTCAATTATTTACCTTCCTTCCACAAAGGCTCCTTGATTTTCCAGATCCAATTTGAAAATTAAGCTTACCCCTCTTATATGCGCAAATGAAAAATATCAATGTCTAGATACAACATTCCTTTTCACTTCATTATCAACAAAGTTATAGTATTCTATGAAAATACATATTAAGACATTAAGCAACTATAAATCCAAATACCCACATTAATTGTCATTATTCAAAGTTTACTTGTTCAATATCTATTTCAAATCTTGCAAAGAATTAAAAAAGAACAATTTTGCAGAGCCTCAAACCATTGAAAATTTGAAATTAAATTTGGATAATAGGAATTTCAACACCATGAACAAAATAAATGGAATAGAAATTGGCAAAAATGAGAGAAAGAAAAGGCAAAGATTTAAATCAAACTAGATGCATCAAAGAGGAAGACCAAAGAGTCTTGATAAAAGATCAAGAAATTAAGAAAATACAGAAAAAAAAAAACTATTTTGAAAAATTAATAAATGAATAACATGGAGAGGATACTAGTGGAGGAGGATTAGTATCTCCAATAGTATGTTGTGGATGCTTTTATTGGAAATAAGTACAGCCGCAAACAGCAGTAATGGGCGTTAAATTCAGTATTCGTATCTTATCTCTTAGCTAAATTTTAAGATTTCCATATTTTTCTATTAATTAGGCAGTAGCATTATTATTTCCTATTTAAAGATAAATGTTTGTTAGGTAGTTTTCCTAAAGGACTCTTACCTTCTAATTTCCTAATAGGTAGTTTTCCTAAAGAAGGACTCTTACCTTCCTATAATTTCCTATTTAAAGGAGCAGATGATATTCGATAAGATTATCGATATTTTCAATCAAGAAAGAGCAGAGGAGAGTCGGTGATCTCTTTAACAAATCACCATTAAGGCTCTAAAGATAGGTTCCTCGAAAAAAGGGAGAAACAAGGGAAAACAAGAAGTTTTTCCCGTTAACCAACCTGTGACGAGATCCTATTCGCAGGCCCTTAACAATTTGGTATCAAAGCAAGGCGTCATGGGTGACTTTTAGCAAGTGAAGACTAGGGTTCATGGTCTGGAGCACAAACTCGTGAAAAACAGCAAGGAAGTGCGCGAGATCAAGGACGACGTCTGAGAATTGAGACACTTGATGGAGTTGTATTTTTCCAGCAAGGAAAAGAGTTCAGAAGGGGCTGCAACCACAGACGGCCGCCGACCAGACATGGTAGAATCGCCTGGCGAGCAACAGGTCGTTGCCCAGGGAACCGCGATCATTCCCAAATATAGCAGGCTGGAATTTCCTTCCTATAATGGAGCTGGAGATCCTTCGGGATGGCTGGAATTTCTGCAACCAATGGACAGAGGACAGGGAAAAGGTAGGATTAGCCGCATTCCACATGACAGAGGAGGCGCAGCTCTGGTTTTATAAATTGGAGCAGGAGGAACCTGGGCTCAATTGGACCCAATTCAAGTCCTACTGCCTTCTTAGATTTGGACCCCCATTAACAAGCAATCCATTAGGCGAACTAATCAACCTCAAACAGACTGGAACTGTGGTTGAGTATCAGCGCCAATTTCAGACCCTCCTTACAAGAGTAACTTCGGTACGACCAGACCAACAGGTTGACATGTTCACCGTGGGATTAGTGGAAACTTTGAGGGTGGATGTGGAGATGCAAAATCCCCCCAATCTGGTTACTGCTATGAATTTGGCTCGAGCTTTTGAACGAAAATTGCAACTCAACCGCGGAAGTATGAGTATAGGGTGGCCTCAAACAACATGGGCAGCCCTAAAACAACTCGGAATGGCTCCATCTTCAGCAGCCAGCCGAGAACAGAAACCACAGGCGAGCAACAATTCCAACTCGGCATCCAGTGTGGGAAGCAACGTTGTTGCACCCCCTATTAAGCACTTGTCCAGGGCTGAGGTGGCGGAACACAGGGCGAGGAGACAGTGTTTTAATTGTGATGAACTTTACTCAGCAGGGCACAAGTGCAAGAGACTTTTCTGCCTCCTGGTGGATGAACAAGAGGAAGATGAGGATAAACCCTCTTCATTGGAACCCGAGATTTCTCTCCACGCAATTACTGGAATAAAAACCTCTCAAACTATGCAATTGCAAGCGCAGGTAGCAGGGAAACCAATACTGATCCTTGTTGATTCAGGAAGCACACACAATTTTGTAAGTGAACAAGCTGCCCTCTAGTTGGAACTGCCAATGGAAATCAAACCGAGAATGCAGGTAGCCGTAGCAAACGATGAAAGAGTACACAGCCCGAGCATCTGTAAGGGAGTCCAAATATAGGTCAATTCTGAATCCTTCTTTGCTGATTTGTTTGTGCTATCCTTGGATGGATTTGATGTAGTTCTTGGGGTGAAATGGTTGATCACTCTAGGCCCAATCCTATGGGATTTCAACGCCCTAACGATGACCTTCCACTTGAACGGAAAGCAAGTCACTTGGCAGGGTAAAGTGGTGAAGGCCAAATACCCACAGGTTCATGTGCTCCAAGATGAAATGACACATGCAACAACCATGGAGAGGCTCCTCACTGATTTTTCAGATGTATTCCAAGAACCCAAAGGACTTCCTCCTTCCCGAGCTTGCGATCACCGGATCACTCTGGTGACGAGTTCAGAACCAGTAGTAGTAAGGCCATATCGCTACCCACACCTGCAGAAAGATGAGATAGAGAGGCAATGTGATGAAATGCTAGAGTAGGGGATCATCCACCTTAGCCGTTCCCCTTTTTCTTCCCCGGTCCTGTTGGTGGCAAAGCAGGATGGTACTTGGAGATTTTGTGTTGGATGAACTTCATGGTACAGGGAGCTTAATAATCGGACTGTCAAGGATAAATTTCCCATTCCCATTGTGGACGAGTTGTTGGATGAACTTCATGGTGCCCAGTATTTCACAAAATTAGATCTAAGATCGGGGTACTTTCAGGTTTGAATGGCTTCCGAAGACGTTGAGAAGACTGCCTTTCGAACTCATCATGGCCACTTTGAGTTTTTAGTTATG